CCCACACACGCACACCGACGAACGCACGGACGCACGCACGCACGCAGGCACACCGTTATTAGCGTTGTCGGCTTACGTCGGCGAATATATGTGGATGGCATATCGCCAACCAACAGTGCTATAGCCGCACTTAATTACCTATTATGCCGAGACGATTACCTGGCAAGGTGCGACCGCCATGACGATGCGATTCTCGAAACTCGGGTTTTATTTTGGCCACAATGGCTATATGCGCCTTATCCGATGTAAAATGAACAATAGCAGTGCGTAACTCCGTCAGCCTTATATGATATATATATATATATATATATATATATATATATATATATATCACGCGAATCTTATGAAGGTCAATAAAAAAAGAGCTACTTGTTATACACAGCAATGCTATGTAATCGGTGTGCATCTGTTCGTCTTGTTTTATGTTGTTTTTGATAACGCAACCTGCCTTAAGATATCGCACAATAATTCGCACCATTCATAACCAACGATAGTGAACGCCGTGTACTCACAATAGCGGTATAGTGGCATTGTACGCACACGTCCATGTCATCTCGACTAATACTGATTTCTGCTTCTATTTGTTCTGACTGTATCTCTAACGTTTATCGCTTGCTATCTTTTTTTGGCACGTACTTTAATGCCATTTTATTTTATTTTCAATTCACGTTGCTCTTTACATTGAATCAAACGCTGTAGGCCAATACTTTCCATAGCGCGTATTATTGTCACCAATGAATACATTTGCGCTTACCGCTAGATCTCCGTGGATTATAATTGTGGGATAAATACATGTTCAATTTTGCTTAGTGTGGAATCGACGCGCAGCGCTAAACATAAAACCGTCAACTCCATTTTCTTATGGATGGCATTTGAAACGGGTTGAAACCAAATCAATGGTCTCTTCCTTGAGAAGGCGAACGAACAAGAGCAACACTTCATCTTCAGAATCTGCTAAGAGGAAAGGTAACTCGTGATGGGCCTGTAAACATCTTCCGCGCAAAACAGTGATGATAAAAATATTAATAAGATCTAAGAAATGAATAACCATCTTATTTGCCTACATAACATTATACGCCGCTTTTACGTTATGATTTTGCATTATAAGTTTGCGTTTTCTCCGTGATCTTTTTGTTTATGATTTTCCTCACTCCTTCATTTTCTCTCTTATCAGTTTCAGTTATCACATAATTAATACAAATACGGTGCGATAAAAAATTCGACGTACAAACGTTGGATTAGATATAATGTTTATAGATCACCACATAACTGCTGAACACAAGTAAGGAAACAATCTCAGGAAACACGAAATGGACACCCGAGGTGCATGCGCACATAAAATCTAATCAGAAATATTGAGGGAATCGAGTTTTGGCGCTAACAAGCTTAGATAAACCGCCATGGCCCGCTTGATAAGCCGTTTCCTTTGGATAAAATAAAATTACAACGTAGCTACCCTCGAACGCGCTCCAAAATATTTATCCTTAACGTTCCAAGGTGACGCGCCAACGATCATCCGATAAATTCTACCATGAACACATGTGTATTCATATATACCTATGTCCACGTTAGCTATATGTTAGTATATATATATACATATAGTGTTACATTATGTTAGTATATATGTTATATCATGTTAGTATGTATATGTGTGCTCACGGAGCTACAATTAGAATAAATATTCTCAAACCGGACCCGGTAACGATTTTGTCAGCCATGTTGGATATTCATAGCGCGACTACCTTTTCACTATGTTAAAATACAAAATGTGTTTAAGGGACACTTTAGATATGCCTAAAATGTATTTTTTGTTTAGTCCTTGGGCGATAGGGGGCATGGTAGGTGTCATTAGCAACCCGACTATTAGCTCGAATTCGAGTCATTTCATTGGGAAGCCTACCCGTTTATACATACCCCTATAGAGAGAGAGAGAGAGAGAAGAGAGAGAGAGAGAGAGAGAGAGAGAGAGAGAGAGAGAGAGAGAGAGAGAGAGAGAGAGAGAGAGAGAGATTTATATATATATATACACCCGTATACTAATCCAATGATCCAATCTTGAAACGGTAATGGGGACTTTGAGAGAGCGTGTGGTTTTTAGGTGCAGCGCACGGCACGCGCTGACGTACCTTCTAAACTCGGTTAACGTGCAAGCAACGCGAGAGATATTTGTTGTGATAGGTCCGTCGATCGGTCGCGCGTGCGCTGCTTACGCCGCGTAGCACGTTGTTTTCAGAGACGTCCGATAGCCGCACGATACCGAGCCTACGCTACCGGCCACAGCTTCACGCAGACAAGCCACATGTGATGCTGCTGCTGCTGCTGTTGTTGTTGCTATTGCTGTTGTTGTTGTTGTTGTTGTTGCTGCTGCTGCTGCTGCTGCTGCTGCTACTACTACTGCTGCTGTTGTTGTTGTTGTTGTTGTTGTTGTTGTTGTTGCTGTTGTTGTTGCCGCTGCTAAAGCACTGTTATAGGCAGCATCAGCACCGCGGGAACCCGGATCCCCGCCCACTCCTTCCTCCCTCTCCCAAACACACGCGTCGATCGTAACAGACTTGCCTTTCTAGAATCGCACGGCGCCGTTGCAACCGACCCGGAAATGGATGCGACGGAAGCTCTGCTTCCGTGTCAGCAGGGGGTCAATTGCACGCTGCCCGACTGTTACTGCGGCGGTACGAGAATCCCTGGCGGGCTGCCGCTGCGCAGCACGCCCCAACTCGTCATGATCACCTTCGATGACGCTGTCACGCTGCACGACTACAACAACGTGTTCAAACCGGTACAGAAGCAGAGCCGTGCATGAGAACGGGGCGTGGAACGGGCGCAGACCCGCAGGCAACCGAATCTCCGGGCCAATTATGATAGCAATATATAATATATATATAGCAGCAATGCATGTACCCTCTATACGTCGGTGCATGTATGCATTTAAAACTAAAACTAATCACATATGCTAGTTTGCCGTAGTTGTAACATTTATTTTTTCACTTTTTCGCAGCTGTGTTGATAAAAGCTGTGTAGCATATTTGAAAACCAGATGCGCGCTGCAAGTTACGTAACATACGTGTTCAAGTTTCATGTTTTATATGATTATATCAGAAGTGAATTCTAATAGCTCTATTATTATTAATAATCTATAATAATATAGTATATAATATATATATATATATTATATTATATTATATTATACTATATTATATTATATAATATATATATATATATAATATATCTATAATAATATAAATAATAATCTATTATTATTCACTCCTGATGATATGTATAAAATTTCAGCTCTTTACCAGAACTAATCCTAACGGTTGCCCAATCAGAGGAACCTTCTATGTATCGCACCAGTACACCGACTACACATTGGTCAACAAACTCTGGGTCGAAGGTCACGAGATTGCGTCGCATTCGATCAGGTAGGGAGCAGAAATGACTAGGATACGGTTAGACATTCTTGCGGTGCGACTGCTGTTTGTTTTATTGGATTTTTCGTTTTTTTTTTACGGTTTCTATGTTATATTTTGACACATATAGCTCTCCCCATATGCGACGCTCTGACTCTAGAACTAAATACGTTGTGGTTTTCGTCGTCAATGTGTATGTAGCATGGTACGCCCAACCCTCAATTTGGAGTTTGCGTTGTGAACACCTAATGTTTCCTTTGTTAGTTTTTCCAATGTTTCCATTTCAGTTGTCACTAGATTTTACTTCTAGTATTGTTGCGCTTGTTGTTGTTGTTGTTGTTGTTGTTGTTGTTGTTGTTGTTGTTGTTGTTGCTTTTGTTGTTGTCGCTGTTGTTTTATTTGCGGTTGCTGCCGCCGCTGTTGCTGTTGACACTAGAAACTTCCGCTACTGTCGGTTTTAGCAAGGACGCGCCCGTCTAAAAATACAGCGCGACAACAGGCGAAGAAAAACACGAACGTCAGTAAAAACAACAATGATTGCAGGTGGTTTCTGTCGCCACCACGGACGCTATATGGACAGATGGATGCATCTGCCTAGCAGTGAACAGATAAAACTTGCTGTATAGCTTCCGTGCAACTCACGGCCGATATCGACTTCCCACAAAATAATGTAGTAGCCCAGTTTATTGGCACATTTATTATAAGCGCACGCGATTAGTGCCATAATGGCTGGCAGGTATTTGTGAGACATGCACAGTGTAATGTTAAAGCTATATGCATGTCGGTTATGAAGGAATCGGCACGCGGGGAAAAGGCCAGTGCTTATAATGACCGATGTTGTAAAAAACCGAAAGGTTGTGATCATTCCGTCGGAGATGAGCATAAAAGACATGAGGAATGCGGGCATCTTGAACACGTGCTGTAAATAATGATAATATGTGATTGATGACGCTTAGCCGTCGATTCTGCGGTCGTTTTTTATCGATCGCTATTAATGACACTAAGAATCGCTCACTAATGTTACTCGCATTAGGGACGATGCATTTTTCTGTGACACCATGCAGTGTTGCCTGTTTTAATAAGTCACTTTGACGGAGTTTTGACAAATAGTACTTAATAAATAATGAGAAATTAATTAGATATTATATGCTAGACACTGACTGTATATAAAAAGGTAAAGACATTGACTAGAGATAAAAAAAAGTCAAAGCATTGACTATATATTGAAGTTCAAAACATGAACTAGATAATGAAGGCAGATGATGACACAGAATTTATCATCAAATATTCAAAATTCAATCCAGTTTCTACCTACGATATTCTCTTTGACGAGATCTGCGGTTGATCCCGACTTAGATATACAGAATTGTTATACATATCTCGCTCGCCTCTAACACACGGAAGCATGGAGACCGACGTTCATTTTGCGGCGAGCAAATAATTCTTCGGTAATCCGACGGACTCTTGAGCCTGAGCCACCACATCACGTCGCTCTAGTATCGGGATTAGAAGCGGTCGCGCAGGCACGGCTGTTCGCGGTTGAGGGCTGTCAGTGCTCGTTGGTAGTGAGTATAGTATAGTTGCGCATCTCTCAGCGAACGCGGCGGCTACATCGGTGCGTATATTGAGAGGTAGGGATACAGTGAGTGTTGTGTACAGCACGCGGGGAACAGCGCGCAGCGTGGACGAGCGATGCAGAAGCAGCGAAAACGTTCAGCGTTGCTTGATGCGTTTTCTGCGTACGTCAGTCAAACACCACGCACACACACGCGCGCGCACACACACACCCACACACACCACACACACGCGCGGGCGCGCACACACACAACTCCCCCCCCCTCACACACACACACGCGCGCGCA